AAAACAATGGAAAATGGATGGACCAGGCTATGGAGAAGAGGAAGAGCCATTGCATACTATATTAGGAAAGACAGTGTATACTGGAATTGATCATCATTGGAAAGAAGCTATTTTTGCCACATGTGGACAGCAAGTGGACATTTGGGATGAACAACGAACCAGTCCTATATGTTCAATGACCTGGGGATTCGACAGTATAAGTAGTGTTAAATTTAACCCAATTGAGACATTTCTCTTAGGAAGTTGTGCTTCTGATAGGAATATAGTATTATATGATATGAGGCAAGCTACTCCTCTGAAAAAGGTTATCTTAGATATGAGAACTAATACAATCTGTTGGAACCCTATGGAAGCATTTGTTTTTACTGCAGCAAATGAAGATTACAACTTATATACTTTTGATATGCGTGCCCTTGACACTCCTGTAATGGTCCACATGGATCATGTATCTGCAGTGCTTGATGTGGATTACTCGCCTACTGGGAAGGAATTTGTATCTGTGAGTTTTGATAAATCTATTAGAATCTTTCCTGTGGACAAAAGCCGAAGCAGGGAAGTATATCACACAAAGCGAATGCAACATGTTATCTGTGTAAAATGGACGTCTGACACCAAGTATATTATGTGTGGATCTGATGAGATGAACATTCGTTTGTGGAAAGCTAATGCTTCGGAAAACCTGGGTGTGCTTACGGCACAAGAAAAAGCAGCCACAGACTATAATCAGAAACTGAAGGAGAAATTTCAGCATCATCCTCAGATAAAACGCATAGCTCGTCACTGGCATCTACCAAAATCCATCTAGAGTCAGATTCAGGAGCAGCGCATCATGAAGGAAGCACGGCGATGAAAGGAAGTGAATCGTTGTAAACACAGCAAGCCTGGATCAGTGCCATTTGTGTCAGAGAGGAAGAAACACATTGTGGCCATTGTGAAATCATATTTGGTACTTCTAAAAAAAAAAGACCAGAAGTATAAAGCAAGATAAATACAATCTTTTTTTCAGAGTCAATAGTTATAAAGGGTAAACGCTGGTATTCTATTATAAATCTGACTTACTTCAAAAACTTTCCTCACCATTTAACCAGGGTAAAACCACCGAGTGCAATTACAACTCAAGGTGATACTAACAATATGGAACAGAACTGTCTCACAGGCTTTCTTAACTGTGATGTTCATCGAAGCAGACACCCTTCTATGATGCTGTTGGGTGTGTTCAAACTGTCAGCCTTCACATTAGCAGCCCACTTGATTATCCTTAAACAGATTTTCATTCTTTATAATCTATGAAATAATCTTAACAGTTTCCTCTAAAGCTCACTGAAGGCACCTGAGGGTATTCTCTCTCCTCTCTAACCACTGGCATCATGGTATAGGACTCAGTGCAGCTAACATCAAGACTGGAAGCTCAGTGAACATCAGAGGTCACTAGAGAACCAAAGGAAACTCAAGTCATCAGCAGTCATCTATCTCCTACCCCAACTCCTGCAGGAAACTGCAATGCACGTTGTGACTGAAATACCACACCTGACATGGCCAGCAGTGCCATGTGGAAAGAGCAGCTCTGAAATTGATGATAACATAAGACCTGGGTTCCAGGCTTAACTCTACCAATTCCTGTGGGACCTTGGGTAGTTACTCAACATCTCTGAGACTGGTTTCCGACTTCTATCTACCTTTCTACAGGATTGTAGCATCAAATAAAATAGTAATGGTTGCAAAATAACTGAAAACTGTAAAGAGTGATGGCATCAGGGAGTGGGAAGAATGACAAATTCATCCAACAGTTATGGTTCTGCTCCAGTTTTTAAAGGCAAAAGCCACATCAATAAACATGCTGTTGTTAAGTGCTAGCAAGTCAACAATTGACAGCCACCCTATAAACAACAGATGCCCTGCCCTACCTTATGCCATCCTAACCATTTCTAATATACTTGAACCCATTGTTGCAGTCACTGTGTCAACCTATCTTGTTGAGGGTTTTCTTCTCTTTCACTTACTCTCCACCTTCCCAAACATGATGTCCTTTTACAAGGACTGGCCCCTCCTGACAATATGCCCAAAACGTGTGAGGTGAAGCTTCCCTATCCTAGCCTCCAAGAAGCACCCTGGTTGTACTTTCTCCAAGTCAGATTTGTTCTGTTGGCAGTCCTGGGATATTCAGTAATCTGATCCAACACTATAACTCAGAGGAATGGGTTCTTCTTCTGCCATCCTTAGTCACTGTACAACTTTCAGATGCATAGCAAGTAAATGAAAAGAACATGACTTGGATCAGGTGCACTTTAGTCTTTAAACTGGTATAATTTCTCCTTAGTACTTTGCAGAGGTCCTTGACAAATTTTCTGAATGTAACACATCTTTTATTTCTTGATTGCTGGTACCAAGGATATTGAGTATGGATTTGGACAAAATCCTTGACTTCAATCTATTCCAGCTTAGCCTGATGTTACATCTTTGTCCAGTGGTGAGGATTTTTTGTTACCTTGATGTTGAGATGTAATCCATATTAAAGGTCTTTGATCTTCTATGGCAAGTGTCTTAAATCCTCCTCGCTTTCAGCAAGCAAGGTTGCATTCATTTATTTTCCTCCAATCCTGATGCAACATTCTTCTTCATAAAGCTCAGCTTCTTGAATGACTCACTCAGTAAACAGACTGAATAGGTATGGAGAAAGCATACAGCCTTGATGCACAACTTTTTTTATTTTAAACCATGCAGTGTTCCCCTGTTCTGTTTGGATAATAGTCTCTTGGTCTAGGTTTCTTATGAGCATAATCAAGTGTTCTGGGATTCCCTTCATCTCAATGTCAGACATAGTTTGTGTTCACACAGCCTTTGCACAGTCAATAAGATACCTCTGCATAGTCAGTAAGACACAGATATACATCTTTCTAGTATTCTCTGCTTCCAACCAAGATCCATCTGACATCAGCAGTGATATCCCTGGTGCCATGGCCTCTTTAAAATACAGCTTAAATTTCTAGCAATTCTCTGTCCATGTACTGGCCTGGCCATTTTTGAACAGTCTAGCCTTCAGTGTTTTTAAATGCTGAACTCTGTCATGTTTCTGAGTAGAAGTTGTATTTGTCAACGCCATACTTTATGTCTAAACTGAGAAGTAAGCCATGGAATAGAATAACAGGGACAAATAGTTGATTACAGGGTATATGTGACTTAGATGCTTGGAAGTCAAAATTCACTTAGGGATCATTTCCTTATCTCCTAACAAAGAATTTAAGCAATTGTGAATACAGCATCTTATCACATTCAGAAATGATGCAAGCTGTGACAAACAGGCTTGTTCAACCACCAGGTATGTGAGTACCAGAAGAGTTGTATCTTACTTAGGAGTAAGACATTTTGAACACACAATCAACACTGTATATACTCAAAACTACCTGTGAAAGTTTTTTTTCTTATAATGTGTTAAGGGGTGGGTGTATGTTGGAATTTTTTTCTATTTTCTATACATCTCAAACTGCTCTAAAAAAACCAGTCTAATTAAGAAAAAGAAATAATTCTATTTTCAACCATCTAAGACCTAAGCCTGTGGAAGCTCAAAAGCCATGTTTAAACTGTTTGAGTTGTCTTTCCCTGCTTTTTTTTTAATTTTTAAAAAAATTTTATTATTTTGTTTGTGTGTACCGTCAAACTGGATCTGACTGATACAGGAGGAGATTGTCTTTCCTTCTCCCAGAGCATCTGTGGATTCAAACTATGCACATCTGGGATTGCAGTGCAGCTTCTTGCCACTAGGCCACCAGAGCTCACCTTCCCCTACTTTCCAACATTGACTTTCTTTTCCCACATTGCGGAAGACCAAGTCTAGCTGGGAAAGGGATAATGGCAAGGTTTGGATTTGTGACAGATAAATGGGTTCCAATGATGCCTCCACTTTAACAGCAAAGAATAGGAATTCTGTCAGCCCCTGCAGAGAGCCACTCGGACTCTGAGGAGAGCCATCTGGCCCCTGGGGAGAGACGCCTGGTGTGTATGAGGAACTTTATCTAAACCACTCTCCTCCATCTCCTCCTCCGGTACACCTGTAAGAAACATTTCCAAAGCTTTTTTTGTAACTCATAAGTTTGCTCTCTCTAGGTTTGCTCCCTTTCAACAAAACACTGAGTTTTGTTCCAGAACCTGAACCCTGAGCCTGGTTTGAGAGACAAAAGAGAAACATAATTGCCAGCTAAGGAAGCAAAGGTGGGGAGTCTCAAAATTCAGCCAGCCACTCCCACGGGACTGAACCACACAAACACTTTGCAGTCCAGAGGGCAGAAAACGTCAGGAAAATGTCTTCTAACTGAACAAGAAGGCATACGGCTTCAAATCAAGACCACCAGTAAAGTGTTAAAGTGGGCTGTCCTTCCCCTTCATCTCAATGCCCCTGTTCACCATGAAGCAGCCAGAGAGGCTGTGCCCCTATTCTCAAATGGGAAACCCACAAATAAAAAAGACAATATCTTTGTAAGAATAAATAAATAAATAATCGCCACTGGACTATCATCACTATTACCCTGTATTTTCTGGTCTTCACTGGATCTTTCTCATTTCCTTTACCTACTCCCTCCACCCACCAAATTGTGCAATCCTGTGATTTCATCCCAACCAGACTCACCCTTCTCCCATCAAGGGATTTTTTACCATAAAAAAAAAAAAAAAAAGGAATTCTACTCCCAAACCCTTCTAGGGTGGTGATTAGATAACTCCAAGTCTAGCAAGAGATAGCACAGTGTGATGGTTACATTTATGCAGGTTTCTAGTTGCCTAACCTCTCCTTATCTGGTATCCTCATCAGTAAAAAAAGGCTCATTATCAGATAACTACAGAGAAGATTAAACACTTAGGAAGAACTCTGAGTAATGGCTGGTATATGGTAAACATGAGATATACATTTGCTGGTTTTGCAAAATTATTATTATCATATCATTAAATGATTATCTTATTCTAGTGGCAATATGGAAGCTGATGAAAAAAATCTCCCATGCGCCTCTTACTTTTAATTTGTCCTCTGACATCACGATCCTCCCCTGAGTGCTCTTCTTCATAGTGTGACTGAAGCTGATAGAAAGACTGCAGGTCCTTCAGGCACAGAGGGCAGAGGAATCCCTCCCTCACTTCCCCAGGGTCATCCAGGGAAGCCATGGCTGTGCCCTCTCAGCCCCCACAAGGCAGTGGTCTCATGCCAAGAGTCAGCTTGATTCCTCCTCACGGGTCCAGGGTTCCTGCAGTCTCAGCTGACGAAAAGAGCACACTGATGGTGAGGAAGGGGCATCATGGCACTGGATGAGGCTTCTTCTCCGGAGTAAAAAAAGCTCTGGGAAAGGAAAAAAGAAAAGACTGAGGAGTCAACTCAGCCAAATTAGCAGCAATTTAAAATTCCTGTTGCTTCACAAGAGCCCTTACTGTCTGCTAAGTGCTCAAGTTTAAGAAAGTAAACTACTTTCTCAAGACCTTAACAAGGACTTGTCAAGACACAAAGTCTACTAAGGTTTGAGGCTTTCACTGGACAATGGAGACTCTACAAAGCTGAAGCAGTGATTCTTAAAACGCACTGTGATCAAGTTGTAACTGACCCAAAGCTGAACCAACAGCTGTTTTTTTAAGTCTATAAAATGCCCACCATTCTCTCTCAGAGTGGCTGAGGACTGCAAAAGGCCTGAGAGGAACTGCCTTTAAGTTAGCAGCATAATTCTCTACAGACTATACCACCTGAGCTCCCTAGATAAGAAAAAGGAAAATTCAACTTAAAAAACAGACACAAAATTTTCTGACACTCTACTATATGGTCCAACACCACAATGTGTACGCCAATGCAGGTGAGAAGGAAAGTTCAGAAGAATTCACCAGCAAATACAAGTTTTTTAACTCTCTTTAACCTTGATCATTTATATGAGTATTGTTCACAAATCATCTACGGCAGGAAAGCAAAGACCAAAAAGGCAGAATGCCAGCTCTAAAAAGCAAACAAAAACTCACTATCAGTCTAAGGAGGAGCATAATAAAACCTAATGTTATGAAGCTCTAGTGGGCTAGTGATAAGGGCTTGTGCTGCCAAACTAAAGAAGCACTGATAGAATGGGCAATCTTCTCTCAAGAGATTTACTGCCTCTGCAAACCCTCTGTTGGATCAGCTATGAGTCAGTTCTGATTCTAATGTACTTAACAATAACAACAATAACAGTGTTATGAAAAGAAATTTTGTATATTGTATTTAAAGGGAACCTTGTCTCCAATAAGCTTACTAGATTTTATAAACAATTAAGTAGCAATTAAGCAGTAAGCATAAAGTTCTCATTGTTTAAAAAAAGAAATGCATTTCAGGATTTAGTAAGTTACACTTTCTGGCTTAATGGGTCATTGCCAGGTCACTTCCAAGGAGACCTAGCAAGGCACCCAGGCACAAAAAGAATCCAGACAAAAGCACAGAAATTGTTTCTCAGGCAAACCACTGTCTTGACTGATGGGTACCCTCAGTTTTGGGTAGATCTGTCTAGCAGACCACTGATGAGAGACTACTTGGTTTTCACAACTGAAAAGTGGCAGTGACCCAAAGAATAAACAACCAGTGACCCAGGTTCCACGTTTCCCCTCTAGCTAAGAAGCAGTGAAAGACGTGCTAAAATTCTCACTTACAATGCTAGAGATCTGAGTCTGATTTCCAGCCATTGCATCACAAGTGCAGCACCACCCATCTATCAGTGGGGCTTTGCATAGTAAAATGTTGAACAGGTTTCAGTGGAGCTTCTACACTTAGACAGACCAGGAAGAAAGGCTTGGTCAGTTTATGAAAATAAGTTGATCTAAACCAAATGGATTACAATGGTCTGATCCACATGTGGTCATGGCAATGGCACAGGATTGGGCAACATTTCTGTTCTGTTGTGCAAGGGGCTACCATGGATACAACAGTAGCTAACAACAAAGTAACAGCAACACACTTAACAAATTTGTGCATGCAATTCCCAGCCCCCTTTTTCAATGGTCACTGAAACAGAGCTGACCCTCCAGTGGGTTTCCCAGGCTATAAATTGCAAGGGGAAATTTTGGCTTTGTCTCACAGATCCACTGGTAGATTCCCATTACCAGAGAGGCACTGCCTTTGGATTAGCAGCACATCTCCCTGGAATGCCAGAGCTCCTTAAAAATAGATAAAGATCTGATTTGGGGTGTGTGGGTTGTTTTGGTTTTTTTTCTTTCCACAGTGGTTTATCTGACATTCTGATTCTTTCAGCCCACTTCCTTCCTACATACTCACCACAAATGAAACATTTACATTTCCACTTCCACTCCCACATTCACCCCTCAAACACATACCGTTCAAACCTCAACCCAAATCTCACTTTCAAGTACTCTCTGACAGGAGGCCTGGCCTCCAGCTGACAGTGCCCTGGCTTCTTCACAGCAATCGTTTCAGGTTAAGTCATCATATGTGAAGTGAATAAATACACGTCTGTAAGCTCTGTGAGTGCAGAGGCTGAGTCTGTTTCCCTCACTACCATATCCCCAGGATTTAGTAGTGTCTGGTACACACACAAAGTAAATGCACAATTAATCAATCAAAACACACACCACCACCAAAGCATATCCCACCACAACAACTGAATACATGTGCAAGCTCCACAATCCTGAACCACATAAGAAATGTTTACAAAATCTTTGGATCCTACTGTAGATATCTATGCATCCTGCTTTAATGGTGTTCTACCATTAGCCTCTTACAAAGAAATACACATCTCACCCCTGCGCTCCCTACAGCTTCACAACCACAACCACCAACTCGCATAATGCAGCACGTTATGCACACGTCACTTAACCACAAGAGGGAAAACTCGCATGGATCACATAGTCTTTCCACACACAGTACAGGCAGAGCCGGAACACTACAAATAATAGCACACAAACTCAGAACGCAAATGCCTCAATTTCACACAACCAGAGAACTCAATACAAGCATTCGAGACAACTACCAGCTTTCCAGCCGTCGCACAAGCAACACAACTGTATACGCCCCGCACAACCACATAGAGCCCAATTCCTCACAAGGACACACACGGGAAATGCAGAGCTCAAAAGCCCCATCTCCTACCACGCAAGTGACAGTCCTCAAAGCAAACACATCTTACAGCCGCATGGCATTGTCTCGACTCCTCTCCAACCAGACTCCTATAGCCGGCTGGGGTTCCGCAGGCGCGCAGGTCTGTCAGGTCACCAGCCCAGGGTTTAGGGCCTTTACACAAACTCACAGCAGCGCGCCCGCCATTGCCATCGACCGCTCTGTGTTCGGCTGGTGCGCCTGCGGCAGCTACGTCCAAACCGGAAGACAGCCTGACAGATGCCGGAAGAGCGCCGAGTCCTCGAGAGAGAAGTGGGGCGGGCCGGTGACTTCTGTTCTGGCGCCACCGCATGTAGGTGGGTGGTAGGTACTGTAGTTTTTAGATTTTACGACTCAAAGTGACCCTATAAATAACAGGTTCGATCCTTGCCCTGTCCTGTGCCATCCTCACAATCTCCCTTCGATGTGCTCAAACCCATTGTTACTGTCACTGTGTCAATCCATCTTGTTGGGATCATTCTCTTTCTCTGTCTTTCCACTTTTCCGAGCTTGATGCCTTTTTCCAAGGACTAGTCCTTCCTGATAATATGCCCAAAGTATGGGAAGCAAAGTTTCATGAGCCTTGCTTCTAAGGAGCACTCTGGTTTCACTTCTTCCAAATCAGGTTTGTTTGTTCTTTTGACAAACTATGAAATAGTCAGTACTCTTCTCCAAACACCACAGCTCTAAGGCTTTAATTCTTCTGTCATCCTTATTCATTAATCAAGTTTCAGATGCATAGGAAGTAATTGAAAAGACCATGGCTTGGATCTGGCACACTTTAGTCTTAAATTGACATTCTGGTTCTTTAGCACTTTGGAGAGGTTCTTGACCATGTGAGCTGAGTAATTTGGAGGCAATTTGATAACCCAAAAATTAAAGCCTAGCCCCTTAAAGACAGCTGAGGCTATCGTCTCTATTACCTACCACGAAGTCATCTTTGACTATCCCTCCACATTCTCAAGTATGATGTCCTGCTCTAAGGAATAGCTTCTCTTAGCAACATGCTCAAAGTATGTGAGGCAAAGCTTTATCATCTTTGCCTCCGGATAGCACTCTGGCTCCACCATCTCCAGGATGTATCTGTTTGTTCTTTTGGCAGTGCATGGGATATTCAGTACTCTTCTCCAACACCACAGCTCAAAGGCATGCGCACACTTGTTCAGTTTCGACTGACAATAAATTCAGAGCATGATGTGTCTGGTTCAGGGCAGTTGCAGTATGTTTTGCTAAGGCTTCAACTTGCTATTCCAACAGTAATGGTAACTTCAGGATTTAAAATAGCCAGTGGATAAACTATCATGTTGGTTGTTGTTATGTGTCGTTGAGTCATTTGCGACTCATAGCGACCCTATGTACGACAGCCCTAAACTCTGTTCTGTCCTGTGCCAATCTCATTGTCTCCGACACCCTCATCCTGATGACCCCAGTCACCAAATCAATCCATCTCCTAGAGGGCCTTACCCTCCTGCACCTGCCCTCCACCCTCCCAAGCATGATGTCCTTCTCCACGGACCAGTCTCTCCTTACAACATGACCAAAGTATGTCAGACGAAGCCCCAGAATCCTTGGCTCCAAGGAGCCGCCCGGTTTGACCCTTTCTAGGATGAATCTGTTTGTTTTCTTGGCAGTCCATGGTACCCTCAATGCTCTTCTCCAACACCAAAGCTCAAAGGCATTAATTCTCCTTCTATCCTCCCTAGTCATTGTTCGACTCTGACGCATGACATGTGATTGGAAAAACCATGGCCAGTGTATCAGACACACTGTAGTCTCCAGAGAGACACCATTACTCATCAGTACTTTAGAGAGGTCCCTAACAGCAGACTTTTCCATTGCAATACGTCTTTTAATTTCCTGGCTCTGGTGGGAGATCTCGTGGCCTGTGGCAAGAAGCTACACTGCAATCCCCAGAAGTACATGGTTTGAATCCACCAGATGCTCTGCTGGAGAAGGAGGGGCAATCTCTAGTACCAGTCAGATCCGATTTGACAGTCACAGACATAAAATAATAATAAAAAATAAACTACCATAGAGAGTATAATTTCCAGTG